TGAAGATGAGGATAACAGTCATAATATCTCATCTCAGACATATAGCCAGCATTATTCACATTTATATTTCAAGGAAAAACAGCGAAAATACAATATATATATATATATATATATATATATATATATATATATATATATATATATAATAAATCAAATTAAAAATATTTCAATGATTACTTGCTAATAAATTTGCTGTGATATTTATTAAAATAAAAACGCTATTATGTTGGGTGTTTCACTTTCTTCAGGAAGGAAATATTTTGAAGAGGATTATATTGCGTTATGTTTCTGTAAATTAGAATGCAAGATTTGACGTTGGTAATCGATGCTTTGTTTTCTATCTAACAATTTACATCGATTTATATTTCAACATCTGCTTATATAAATGACGGCTGCGGCCTCGTAAGCGAGCAAAATTTCTTTTTCAGCTTATTTATTATTTTCTGCGGAGAAACGTTGCCAGGGAGACAATGAATCATTTTTGAACTGACACGGACCTGACATGTCTGCAAAGATGACTTTTACAACTGGAAATACATTTATATATATACATTGACGAATGGAACAGCTAAAAGTGCTTGTCGAATTGTTGTTAGGGGCAGCTTGATGGTTTTCAATGTGACGTTTTAGACTATCTTAGATTTCGACAGTCTTACAATATTCAGGTCACGGATAACTGTTTATAAAAGGAATTCATTTCGAGTAGACTGCATTTGAAATACAGTGTAACCCGGATGTAAGAGAGTTGTCGGGACCGGAGAAGAAGTCTCTTATATCCGGGTTTCTCTTATATCTGTGTTTGGTCTATTTTATATACATTAACACAGGCTCTAATTTGGGACCAGAGAAAATCTCTCTTATATCCGGGTTACACTGTACAAATGCTTTACAATGATTTTGTTTTTAATTGAATTCACTCCAAACAAGGCAGTAAAGCCACTAAGACACAAGGGGGTGCTGGGTGTGAAAGAAGTAGAAAACAGAAGTATTATTAAGTAGCGATAATATATATATGTTTTCAGACATTTTTTATGTTTATATATTCTTTTTATAGATACAAATGTTTAAGTAAATACTCTGTTTGTAGTAAACAGTATTAACAACATTTACCGGCCTGAATGTCCGAGACATTTTCATAGAAAATATGCGTCCTCCAACAGGAATTGAACCTGTATCCTACACGGAACTGTCATATAGCCTGATGTGCTTTTACCGATTGAGCCACAGAGGAGCGTTTCGGTTAGCAAGGTCAATTTTACTGTTTTTAAACTACAGTTCTCCATGATTTTTTCTCATACATTCACATCTACTTGATGCGTATCCAAATGTAAACAATTGACGTCACACATTATGAAATGGACAAAGGCCAACAATTATTTTAAGACATTTTTTATGTTTATCTATAAAAAGAACGTATAAACTTAAAAAATGTCTTAAAATAAACAGAAAAAATGTCTTAAAATAATTGTCGGACTTTGTCCATTTCATAATATATATATATATATATATATATATATATATATATAGTGTCATAAAAATTGGCATTATTTCGCAGGCCAATAATTGTGGAAATTCTTGTTGAAATAACCTCAAGTTTTCTTAGAATATATAGAAACAGATGGAGATTTAATATTCAATGTTTTTCTTCTGTTTTTAGTTTGAAACATTCCTTCACTTCCAAAGAGAAGTCATTTTGCGTCTTGGAATATGCTCTCACACAGTCACCCAAGACTGGGCAGTGTGCCTTCAATGCCAAATTTAGAAAAACTTTAACAACTGGCAAAAATATTTGAACTTGATACCAAAAATTTAAAGAAGAATGCTGCTTATGCATGGCTAAAGGATCTGCTAAACCATCAATATCACCGTGTTTGCTAAGAACTTAACTACCGATTTGACGTGCTCGGTGTCACAGGGGTGCACATATTAAACACTTATGAAATCGGTCCCATAATAAACTTATGGTGTTCAACACCTAAACTGTTCAATTTCATTGAGCTAGACTAAGTAGTTTTCAAGATAATTGCTTTTAAAATGATTTCAATTTTTGGGGGACACCCTGTATATATTTTTTTAACAAAAACTGGCGTTGCTCGAGATTAAAAAGAGAAAGAAAATGAGTGATTTTTAAAAATGTTGTTTAACATTTAATATTCTCCGCATTAAGTGTCCGTGTTTTGAGATGGAAAACCATTTAGAATGGATAGAAAATAGTTAAAAAAATGTTTTTTAGCCATGCATTCTCCATGTCGAGAGTAGATAATGAATTTGGGTTTGTAATCCCGACAGAGTTATAAGTTATTGATATTTGGAAAAACATTCATGAAAGTACCTCTAATGGCTTCGACAGATGTATGTTGTGTATGTATGCATTTATGTGTTTAAAATAATGAAATCTTATATTATTTTTACAATTTTTTTTATATATTTGTGTGTGTGTGTGTGTGTGTGTGTGTGTGTGTGTGTGTCTGTAAAATATATAGAAAATAGGAAAGAACTCGTTAGGTAAATAGTCCAAATTTCTTTAGTATTTTTGTTATTATTTTTAAAAAACAGTGCTCGATACACAAGTAGAGCCTAAATATAATTATTTATTTAAAAATATGATTCCAACGATGTGTATGTATGTATATATATATTATATATATTCTATTATGGTTCATTCAATAATATAGACATATTGTATCTATTTATATTCTGATCCTTTCTAGTTTTCTAATCAGTTTCTTAATGAAATTCTTCAAGGAAGGAACCGTAGGTTTTCTTGCCCAAGGACTTTCGATCTCCCATGAGATCATCATCATGGGTAAATTAGAAAACCAAATTGATAGTGTTTGTTACATAATTATAACAGTGTGCATTCATGCGTGTTAAGTCTATGAATGCATCTGTTCCCCCAGATACGGGTTAAATAGCAGGATTTTTTATTTGGAAAAATCATTGTCATTTTTAAATAAATTTGTCATGTCATATTCCGTTGCAAAAAAAAAAAAAGATGAATTGCTCTTATCGACTAAAACATGTTGCGAATTTAAATGACCCACAATTCGTTCATAAGCATTTAAAAAAAAATCTAAAAAAAAACAACAAAAAAAAAAAAACAAACAAACAAAAAAAATGACACAACAACTCGTATTTTTTATTTTATATTTGTTTCTTAAATATATACACGCCGGTCGCTCGCAAGCTTGTGAGTGCAATCGCTTTGCTCTTGCAAGTGCATTCGCTGCACTCATGCATTAATGGGCGCTCAACCAGTTGTCTCACTTCATTCGACAAAGTGCATTTGCTTCGCTTATGCAATGGTGGGCGCGGGACGCTCAACTGTACACACCTCAATCCGTGTACTCTGGTCATCATTTCTTGACTTTTCTCGTCCACCATGGCATCCTTCTTATTAAGTACCCAATCACAAACTCACTGAGATCCGTCCAAGGAGAGTGGAAAAAATACATCCCAAAATAAATATGGAGAAATATAATATATTCCATAATATTTGGTTGGATTTATCTGAGTTTGTGACCCTGGGTTTCGCAAAAGCGTGAAACCCAGGGTCACAAACTCACATCAATCCAACCAAATATGTTAGCTCTATCTCTGATATTGAGCGCTTTTAATAAGTACCGCGCATATAATATATAAATAATTATATATATATATATATATATATATATATATATATATATATATATATATATGTATATATATATATATATATATATATATATATTTTCACATATATTCCATAATATAGGTTTTATTTCTGCTTCTCTTATGTTTCTCTAACTCTTCAAATGTTGAATGTATAACTAATTCTAATTTCTATTTTCCCATCTTTACACTATATTAATTTTATCTTGTAAATTGTCCCCTGGTCTGTCTCCCATGAAGTAAAAATAATTTTACGGAAAATATGGATCAACGTACATCAAATTGTCGTTAAATTAAGTGGCAGCAGAAGAATTATCGTTGAGCTTTTAAAGCCAAGTCGAAACATTAATTCAATACTTAAATGCGGCGATCAATTTTGAGTTCTTCTGCAGTTTATTGATTTCTATCGCATCTACTCCTCCCTAGCTATTGGGATGATGGCCAAACCAAGAGTCCTCCACAGGAGCTAGCTTACGTTCCGGTCGATAGGGTGGCTTTTAAGGTAGTTTATAATAAAACGTGCACTAAAGTTTTGGATACAAAAGGAAAATAAGAGTTACTCCCCTTGAACCATGAGAGCAACGACAATGGTTAGTATAATACATTAATATATATTTTTTAACTTCGTATAATCTGGCATCCCTGAATCTGAGCTCAACAAAAATCGTTCCCTGCGTCTAAAGTTTCTAGGGCTTTTGAATGAGCTATGAATTTTTGAAATCGGACTACTGGAAGCGGAGTTGTTTGGACACATACAGACGCACATACACTGTACTTTATATATAAGATATCGTTGTTTTTGCTTTCAGTTCATCCCTTTCGCTATCTATATAAATAGATTTCTAACTTTAATCGCCTTCGTTTCGTTATTGGCTGCAAATCTTCAAGTCTAAATGATTCAGATAATGTCAAACTGATTGCCAAACGGTAGGGATAAAAGATGGTTATTTTGCTCATGGATATTTTACAGTTCTACGTCTTTTGGAAGCTAATATAACAAACTGGTCTTTTATTTTTGTCTTCTTTGCACAGTTTTCACTTTCTACTTTTCTTTGGCGTTTTATGAGTTACCCATTGGTAGCAAAGCGTTTATGTAGTGCCAATTGAAAGCTACATTAATTAGCGGAGAGAAATCCAGGCTCTTTGCTAAGTGTTTGCCTGCCTCCAGCTGTCTTCATATCTTCTCTTTTTCACCTTCGGTGCAGAATTGGAAACATTGGTAATATTTCGAAACTGAACGCTTTCCTTCTTTCTCGTTTCGGCTATTGTGTAACTAACACGGCGGCAAATCACGATTCAAACGTTTTTGCTTTTTACATGTTTTCATCTATGAATCTCAGTGGCAGAAGATGGAAACCGGTTTTGTTGTTCGCTTTCTTTTGTCCCTAAACTTCCTGAGTGTAAGTCCAAATTCTCTCTTACCAGGAACTGACTGCGCCATTGACTTTATCCTTTCCAGTCGAACGTTTTTCATTCGTCTTTCCATCGTTTTCTATTTTACCCTTTAAATCGTTAAAAGGAAAAAATAAAAATAAATTAGGAAAAATACTTTTCGTTTTATTTCTTTCAGGCTGTAAATGCTATTGATGCTTTGTTTTAAAACTTTTGCTTCATTTGGGCAAAGAAAAAGAAAAGTAAGACGAATATGCGAATAGGAAGCGAAACGGGAAAGATAAAGAGTAGAATGAAATGAAAGAAAGAGTAAACGAGAGATTAAAAAGAAGAAAATGAAAGAAAGAGTTAACGAGAGATTGAAAAGAAAAAAATTGAAAGAAAGAATGAACGAGAGATTGAAAAGAAAAAAAATGAAAGAAAGAAGGAACGAGACATTGAAAAGAAGAAAATGAAAGAAAGAGTTAACGAGAGATTGAAAAGAAAAAAATGAAAGAAAGAAGGAACGAGACATTGAAAAGAAGAAAATGAAAGAAAGAGTTAACGAGAGATTGAAAAGATAAAAATGAAAGAAAGAGTTAACGAGAGATTAAAAAGAGGAAAATGAAAGAAAGACTTAACGAGAGATTGAAAAGAAGAAAATGAAAGAAAGAGTTAACGAGAGATTGAAAAGAAGAAAATGAAAGAAAGAGTTAACGAGAGATTGAAAAGAAGAAAATGAAAGAAAGAGTTAAGAGAGATTGAAAAGAAGAAAATGAAAGAAAGAAGGAACGAGACATTGAAAAGAAAAAAAATGAAAGAAAGAAGGAACGAGACATTGAAAAGAAGAAAATGAAAGAAAGAGTTAACGAGAGATTGAAAAGAAGAAAATGAAAGAAAGAGTTAACGAAATTGAAAAGAAAAAAAGAAAGAAAGAGTTAACGAGAGATTGAAAAGAAGAAAGAAAGAAATTGAAAATTGAAAAAAAAAATGAAAGAAAAAAGAAAGAAAAGGAACGAGAGATTGAAAAGAAGAAAATGAAAGAAAAAAGAGTTAACGAGAGATTGAAAAGAAAAAAATGAAAGAAAGAAGGAAAGAGACATTGAAAAGAAAAAATGAAAAGAAAGAGTTAACGAGAGATTGAAAAGAAAAAATGAAAAGAAAGAGTTAAGGAGAGATTGAGAGAAAAGAAGAAAATGAAAGAAAGAGTTAACGAGAGATTGAAAAGAAAGAAAATGAAAGAAAGAAGGAACGAGAAAAAAAAAAAAAAAAATGAAAGAAAGAAGGAACGAGACATTGAAAAGAAGAAAATGAAAGAAAGAGTTAAAGAGAGATTGAAAAAAGAAAAGAAAAATGAAAGAAAGAAGAAAATGAAAGAACGAGTTAACGAGAGATTGAAAAAAAAAAAATGAAAGAAAGAAGGAACGAGACATTGAAAAGAAAAAATGAAAGAAAGAGTTAACGAGAGATTGAAAAGAAGAAAATGAAAGAAAGAGTTGAAAAGAAGAAACGAAAGATTGAAAAGAAGAAAAGAAGAAAGAAAGAAAGAAGTTAACGAGAGATTGAAAAGAAGAAAATGAAAGAAAGAAGGAACGAGAGATTGAAAAGAAAAAAAATGAAAGAAAGAAGGAACGAGACATTGAAAAGAAGAAAATGAAAGAAAGAGTTAACGAGAGATTGAAAAGAAGAAAATGAAAGAAAGAGTTAACGAGAGATTGAAAAAGAAAAAAATGAAAAGAAAGAAGGAACGAGAAAATTGAAAAGAAAAAAAAAAATGAAAGAAAGAATGAACGAGTGATTGAAAAGAAAAAAAAAGAAAAGAAAAAAATGAAAAGAAAGAAAGGAACGAGACATTGAAAAGAAAAAATGAAAGAAAGAGTTAACGAGAGATTGAAAAGAAAAAAAATAAAAGAAAGAAGGAACGAGACATTGAAAAGAAAAAAAATGAAAGAAAGAGTTAACGAGAGATTGAAAAAAAAAAAATGAAAGAAAGAAGGAACGAGACATTGAAAAGAAAAAATGAAAGAAAATGAAATTGAAAAAGAAGAAAATGAAAAGAAAGAGATTGAAAAGAAAAAATGAAAAGAAAGAAGGAACGAGACATTGAAAAGAGAAAATGAAAGAAAGAGTTAAACGAGAGATTGAAAAGAAGAAATGAAAGAAAGAGTTAACGAGAGATTGAAAAGAAAAAAAAAAGAAAAGAAAGAAGGAAGAAGAAAATGAATTGAAAAGAAGAGAGAAAGAAGAAAAATGAAAGAAAGATTGAAAGAAAAAAAATGAAAGAAAGAGTTAATGAGAGATTGAAAAAGAAGAAAAAGAAAAAAATGAAAGAAAAGAAGAAAATGTTAACGAGAGATTGAAAAGAAAAAAAATGAAAGAAAGAAGGAAAAGAGAAATTGAAAAAGAAAGAAGAAAAGAAAAAAATGAAAGAAAGAAAAAACGAGAGATTGAAAAGAAAAAAATGAAAAAAAAAACGAGATTGAAAAGAAAAAAAATGAAAGAAAGAAGGAACGAGACATTGAAAAGAAGAAAATGAAAGAAAGAGTTAACGAGAGATTGAAAAGAAGAAAATGAAAGAAAGAGTTAACGAGAGATTGAAAAGAAAAAAAATGAAAGAAAGAAGGAACGAGACATTGAAAAGAAGAAAATGAAAGAAAGAGTTAACGAGAGATTGAAAAGAAGAAAATGAAAGAAAGAAGGAACGAAATTGAAAAGAAGTGAAAACGAAGGAAGATTGAAAAGAAAAAATGAAAGAAAGAAGGAACGAGAGATTGAAAAAGAAGAAAATGAAAGAAAGAGTTAACGAGAGATTGAAAAGAAGAAAAAATGAAAAGAAAGAAAAGAGATTGAAAAAGAAAGAAATGAAAAAAAGAAAAGAAGAGAAAAAGAAGAAAAGAAAGAAAGAGTTAACGAGAGATTGAAAAGAAGAAATGAAAGAAAGAAGAAAAATGAAAAAAGAAAGAAAGTTAACGAGAGATTGAAAAGAAAAAAATGAAAAAGAAAGAGTTAACGAGGGATTGAAAAGAAAAAATGAAAGAAAAAGTTAACGAGAGATTGAAAAGAAAAATTGAAAAAAGAAGGAAAAAAATAAAAAAAGAAAGAAAGGAACGAGAGATTGAAAAGAAGAAAAATGAAAGAGTTAATGAGAGAGATTAACGAAGAAATTGAAAAGAAAATGAGAGATTGAAAAAAGAAAATGAAAGAAAGGAACGAGAGGATTGAAAAGAAGAAAATGAAAGAAAGAGTTAACGAAAGATTGAAAAGAAGAAAATGAAAGAAAGAGTTAACGAGAGATTGAAAAGAAGAAAATGAAAGAAAGAAAAGAAGAAATGAAAGAAAGAGTTAACGAGAGATTGAAAAGAAAAAAATGAAAGAAAGAAGGAACGAAAGATTGAAAAGAAAAAAATGAAAGAAAGAGTTAACGAGAGATTGAAAAAAAAAAAAGAAAAAAAGAAGGAAGACATTGAAAAAAGAAGAAATGAAAGAAAGAGAGATTGAAAAGAAAAAAATGAAAGAAAGAAGGAACGAGACATTGAAAAGAAGAAAATGAAAGAAAGAGTTAACGAGAGATTGAAAAGAAGAAAATGAAAGAAAGAAGGAACGAGAGATTTAAAAAAGAAAATGAAAGAAAGAAAGAACGAGAGATTGAAAAGAAAAAATGAAAGAAAAGAAAGACATTAAAAGAAAAATTGAAAAAAGAAACGAAATTGAAAAGAAGAAAGAAAGAAAGGAACGAGAGATTGAAAAAGAAAAAAATGAAAGAAAGAAGGAACGAGACATTGAAAAGAAGAAAATGAAAGAAAGAGTTAACGAGAGATTGAAAAGAAGAAAAATGAAAGAAAGAAGGAAAGAGAAATTGAAAAGAAAAAAATGAAAAGAAAAAAAAAAAAGAAGGAACGAGAACGAGAAAGAAGAAATTGAAAAAGAAAAGATTGAAAATGAAAGAAAGAAGGAACGAGAGATTGAAAAGAAGAAATGAAAGAAAGAAGGAACGAGAGATTGAAAAGAAAAAATGAAAGAAAGAAGGAACGAGAGATTGAAAAGAAAAAAATGAAAGAAAGAAGGAACGAGAGATTGAAAAAGAAGAAAATGAAAGAAAGAGTTAACGAGAGATTAAAAAGAAGGAAAATGAAAGAAAGACTTAACGAGAGATTAAAAAAGGAAAATGAAAGAAAGAGTTAACGAGAGATTGAAAAGAAGAAAATGAAAGAAAGAGTTAACGAGAGATTGAAAAGAAGAAAAATGAAAGAGTTAAAGAGATTGAAAAGAAGAAAGAAAGATTGAAAGAGATTGAAAAGAAGAAAATGAAAGAAAAGAACGAGAGATTGAAAAGAAAAAAATGAAAGAAAGAAGGAACGAGACATTGAAAAGAAGAAAATGAAAGAAAGAGTTAACGAGAGATTGAAAAGAAGAAAATGAAAGAAAGAGTTAACGAGAGATTGAAAAGAAGAAAATGAAAGAAAGAAGGAACGAGAGATTGAAAAGAAGAAAATGAAAGAAAGATTTAACGAGAGATTGAAAAGAAGAAAATGAAAGAAAGAGTTAACGAGAGATTGAAAAGAAGAAAATGAATGAAACCTAAGATAAAAATAAATGGAGAACTGTAGCTAGAACAAAGAATTTGATATATCAAAAAGAAAACGAGCAACATTTATTTCATTACTCTATATATAAAGGAATTGAAATGAAATCAACGAACAGAAAAGGGAATATTGCACAAAAAGGAAGGAAAATGAAGAAAGAAAAGAAGAGAAGGAAAATGAAGAAAGAATATTTTTTTATTTATTCGTTTATTCATTTAGTTCATATTTCAGACTTTTCAAAACCATTTACCTTTCTAGTTCTTTGAATATTTAGGCTTTTTTTCTCTTTCCTTTCTTTCATTTTTAGTCCTTGCTTCTCTTCGATTTTAATTTACCTTTTTCATTTTTCAGTCATTCATTTTTTCTTTTTTTCGATTTTCATTATTTCATTCTTTTTTCTTTCTTTTTATATTTTCCCTTTCTTTGATTTCTTTTATTCATTCCTTCTTTCTTTTTCGTTTCCGTTTATCTTTCTATATTCTTTTCTCATTTTGTGGTTTCTATCTATCTATCTATCTATATCTATCTATCTATCTATCTATCTATCTATCTATCTATCTATCTATCTCTAATTTAGTTCATATCTATCTATCTATCTATCTATCTATCTATCTATAATTTAGTTCATATCTATCTATCGATCTATCTAATTTAGTCAGTTCATATCTATCTCTAATTTAGTCAGTTCATTTCTATCTATCTATCTATCTGTCTATCTCTAATTTAGTCAGTTCATATCTATCTATCTATCTATCTCTAATTTAGTCAGTTCATTTCTATCTATCTATCTATCTATCTATCTATCTATCTATCTATCTATCTATCTATTTTTATCCCCCTCCAGTATTTTGTTTTTGCTTCACTGTCTCTTTCTTTAACTCCTATCCGTCAACATTTTTTCTATCTCTTCTCATTCGCTCACTACCCACAGACGACCCCCTCTTTCAAACTTATTTTTTCATTCACCACCACTGATCTTACAGTACAATGATGATGATCAAGAGAGTACCGCAAGCGATTGTTAGTAATTTCAATTCCAGCAATGTTCATCTGGCCTTGTAGCAGGTTCAGTTAAAATTTGTCAATAGCGATATAAAGGTTGAGTCGACCTGTATCAAAGATAATTAAGATAATCTTGCGGCTGAAAGATTCTGTGTATTGCTATCGTTCCAAACTCACAGACCATGTATTAATCTGAGTAAATATTATCTATATACAAGTTGCCTGCTGTAGAATGGTAATTAATAACCGTATCTCGCTGGGAGAATACCTATTATTCTCATTACAAGTTCCAATATTTTTTTCTTTGCGGAAAGCGTCATAAACTTACCCCTTTGAGAGTTGCGTTCCTAAACAATTTTAACATTTCTGCTTGAGCTCCTGAGTCAAAATTCGCAAACAATTGGTATGTAATGTTTATCGGTAGCTATAAAAATAGTTACAAATGTTTACCTACCATTCAACCGGTGGCTGAGCATTAAGTCATTTTATTCTCTACGACCGGTAAAACGGTGGTCAAGGCTCAAAGGGATAATAAAATATTGCGCTATATTCTGAAACACTCAATATACACAGGCGAACATATACATGTTCATCTCTCTCTTTCTCTCTCTCTCTCTCTCTCTCATTATATATATATATATACTAGCAGCATGGCCCGGCGTTGCCCGTGCTTGATTCAAAAATCGTACGACTCATACAGCAATCGCTATCACCTGACTTAAAATATTATTGCCCTTCCTTTCCTTTAAAGGAGTGCCCTTTGCCGTGCTGATGTTGCTACATGCCTTACTTCTTGCCCATCTCACACTGCGAATTTTTTCTAAGCTCTATACTAAACATTAAATCTGTTACGAAAAAAGAACTAAACAAAATGAATACAAAAGGATCAGCTTTAAAAAGGACTCGTAACTGGAAAAACCGAATGAAAAAAGAATGTTAACAACAAATACTTTTTCACACCCAACCCAGTTCTGCGGAATCAGAATCAACGTTGAGTTTAAGCAAGCGAATTAGCCAATTGGAATAAAGTGCCATGCAGATTTAAATTTTTCCCACTTGTAACGAATGCAGCTATCGATTTTTTTGCATGCTAGCATGCTAGTTAACATTCGTGTCAGTCAGCTGTTGGCTCTCACGCTGGCCAATAGAATCTTCCTGCCTATTCGTGGCAGCCAGCTATAGGCTCTCACACTGACGATTAGAAAATTGCCGCAAACTACATGAAAACTGCCGTAGAAGCATGAAAAAATCGATTATTTCCACTATCAATGGGAAATGCAAAGTTGATCTTGGCCTTTCCACTAACTAGGAGAATGTGCATGTAAATTTTCCTACAAACTGTCGAAAATTGCGGCCGTGCATTCGTTACACACACACACACACACACACACACATCCTGCCTTATATATATATATATATATATATATATATATATATATATATATATATATATATATATATGTAGATAGAGAATATGGATCACGATCATGATTCATCAGATCTACAAATTCAAAAATTTTTGAATGTGTAGGTCTGATGAATTATATCGTGATTACGATTCCAATGTAATGGACGAAACAATAATGATAGTCTGTTTTTGTTGCATGAAAAATTTCAAAGCAACAACTAACTAAGTGTATTGTTCTTTGTATTGGTTGATATATTGAAAAGTAATTGTCATCTTTGTTAATGTCTTATGTAAGCCAAAAGCTTATATTGGATTCAAACATGTATCAATATGGTGATTTCCTTTCGTCTTTCAATGATAATGTGATTAAGCTTATCAGACAATATGAAAGGAACTTACTTAAAATAAATAGACAAAACTTGTCTATATTATTTAATGAAACATGCATTAACATACATACATACATATATATATATATATATATATATATATATATATATATATATATATATATGTGTGTGTGTATATATATTGATCACTAATATTATCTATATATATATATATATATATTGATCACTATTATCTATTATATATATATATATACATATATATATACATACACATATATATTGATCACTAATATTATCTATATATATATATATATATATATTTATATATATATATATATATATTGATATATATATATATATATATATATATATATATATATATATATATATATATTATATATGCACACAAACATATATATATATATATATATATATATATATATATATATATATATATATATATATATAATAGTTTGGAATGTACACCTACTTAATATTACCAAAAATGTTTTACGAATGTAATGGCTTTTATGATTACTTAAAATTAAAATAATCAGCATGGAATCTCACATATTAAGCCCAGCTTCGCTTCTATTTTTCAAGTTAATCCTAATTCGGTATCAGTTGCCTCTTTGTGTTCTCTTTAATCTCGTCCACGATCTAAAATTATCTTACGACGTGACAAGTCAGATGCGGAAGGAATCTAATTTAGAATTGTCGCAACACAGTTTACAAGCTAACTCAGTTGCATCAGACAGAGTAACCTCACTCGAGAGTTCCTGTGGATGGATGCGCAGTAAGGTTCTCTTGAATTTTTTACGAAAATTGTATGAAGGCCGCAGTGATTGAGACGGTTTTTAAAGCATTCGAGCGGAGGGATAATTTCCGGACATATCTCATACTTACACTCGTGCGCGCGCGCACACACAAACACACACAGATCAATGACTGAAAACTGAAATTGGAAGTATGTGTTGGGCCAATAGCTGAAGTGAATCTATATTCAAGAATTTAAATTTTTTCATGACTCGAAATGTCACACTAATAACGGTGAAAAAGAATAATTTTTGTTATGGGTCAGGCAAGAGACAGTGGAATAGTTTCGGATACATACAGAGGAAAGACGGCTAAGATAATTTAACACTCAAAGGACATATCGAAATCAAGAGATGTAGAGAAGGACTACGAGTTGCTGCCAGTGGATGGCTGAATTAAGAGAGCTTTTTTATGATCAAAAGTTTCTTAGATCCAAAAAAAGAAGTTATGGAGAACCATGATCCCCCACCTCCTGAAAGGATATCGCATCTAAAAGAAAATAAAGCATCAGAATCTAAATGTACATGACCATATGCTAGAATGCACCTGCTCTATTAGATTGAAATGTTACTTCCCCTTCTCCTTGCCGTTTTTGCAACCTTCAGCCATTTTTTACGACGTAAAAATTCCTTCTGTTTCTTCTTGCATTTCATCTACATATTTTTTTTTTATTCTTGTATTCCTCGATTATTTATTACGAATTCTTCTTCTTTCTGAAATACCACCTCACGTCTCTCCTTGCGCACTTTTCACACGTTTCCCCTTAAAACATTAACTTGCTCCACGCCCTTCTTCCTCTCCCCTATTTTCCATACAAAGCAAAGAAACACGTCGATGTCGGAAGGGAAGATCGATACACGTTCGCATTACACACCCATTCACACTTATAAAAACATCTGGAACACTTAACAGCATCGTTACTAGATGATAGCGCCTTGGCAACAGTATTCAAACTGATGACACGAGGCTTACGGTGTGGATTGCTTATACAAAATATTCCTTTATCCTAAACATTGAACTAGATTTGCATATAGCAGAAAAAAATGATTTGCAAGATATTCTAACTGGCTATTAAAAAGGGAAAGGGTTTCGATTTTGCTTATTCCCCCTCCTGTAAGAGTTTGATAATTTGTCCATTTCAACTAGTTCCGAGCTTTGTAGCTAAGTATCGCTATGCCACGAGAAGGAATGATCCTTATCACTTTCGTATTCCATTAATAAGAAAGAAATTGCACTTAAATACCTTCTTCCTAAGAACCTCTACTTTGTGGGACAGATTCCCGAGGGGGGGTGCTTTTTCGATCATTACAATCTGGGCCTCTTCAAGTCTAGGGTTAACCATTATCGCCCCTACATAACCTCATATAATGTACTTATTAGATCCACTTCTTACGCTCATATAACATTATATAATAATCCACTAATTTGAGTGGCTCTTAGGACTTATATTTGATGGACATAAATATAAAAAAGAACTAGTTTCCTCTGTTTCCTTCCAAGTCCTCCACTTGTATAGAGTAATTTTTACTGCTCGCAAAGGTAGCAGCAAATGTCCGTACCACTTTTTTTATACGACATTTTTGTTTTGTGCCGTGTCTCTTCAGGATGTTGGCGGCCATGACTCAACAAAATTTTCTGTACTTTTTAGTTCTTAATAAATTTTTTCTTTATGTTATGTTGCCTAAATCTTGTTCCGTCATCCAATTACTCAAGTTCGTTAGACAGGATGTACTCGATCTTCTTTGCCTTCAATCTGCCCTGTGAGTATCAAATTTGCCAAGTATTTTTGTCCTATTTATGTGATCTAGAAATTTCAACGACCTCGATCTGATGGTAAATATAACTGTCCTTTTTGTTTTACTTTTCACGAGAACTTCGTTGTGGCTCAAATAGTCGTTCCATTGAAGTCTCAGCATCCTTCTGTAGAACCATATTACTGTGCTTCTAGAAAAGGATGCTGGACAATATACTCACTGATAAAGAAGAAATTTTAAGCAAGTCTCTTCTTTATCTGTGAGAAGATTGTCAAGAATCCACTGCTATATAGGAGGACTGATATTACATAAAATTTCAGTATTCTTTTCTTTGTTTCTACCGAAACCTTTCTGTTATACCAAGGTTCAGATTCTCCGAGCTTTTGTATAACGCCTCTTAGACTCTTTTCCCTGTCACTGCGGGCTGTCATTTGATCTTGACTTTGTTCTTGCTGGTAAAATGCCATTTTAGAGGGTTTGTTAGCCTTTTCCTAGTATTAGGAGTTAAGTTAATAGAGGGTGCATAGTTTTTGTTAATCAATGTTAGAGAATATACCATTTCAGTATGTATGTTTTAATGACACCTACCACAGAGCAATAGCTTACTCGATTGGCTCGGCGTTCTTTCTTTACTGTGTGAACCGA